GGCTTGGCATAGGAGGGGGTACGATTTTTTGTCTGGGCTATCCCCTAAGGGGAGGGGCCTGTAAGGTAGGGGGCGGTACTAAGAGCCTTCAGGGATGGGGCCTCGGCGTGATGGACGGTTCTGGGAAGGGGCGGGGAAGTCTTGTGATTGGGCACCCTGAAGAGCCGCTGCTCTGTGCTAGATGAGTGGCTACTAGGAAAATGGGGCTCTCCACGATGTAAGGCTGGGGGCGGGGCCTTCTTTTGGGAACGGGACCAACCCTGGACTGAGCCTCCCTCAGGGGCGGGGCCTCAGAGTGCGGAAAGAGACCCGGGAAGCGGGAGGACCGAGCCTGTGAGAGGCTTCCCAATTTTCTGACTTCTGGGCTGGGAGCCCTGCGGCCGGGTCCTGGGGGGAAAGTCGGTGCACAAGGCCCCAATGGAGCCCTTGGGCTCCCGCAGAACCGGCTGAGTCTCCTGTAATCTCTGAGGAGCAGCTAGACCTTCTCCCAAGCCTGGATCTGAGGCAGGAGATGCCTCCTCCGCGAGTGTCCAAGAGTTTCCTGAGTACGGGCCAGAACAGCCGCGTCCCCTCTGACCTTCGGACTTCCCTCTCTGAACTCCAGTTCTCATCTCCGAGACTTCATTCTCCGTTCTGAACCCCTGGCTATGCCAGAATCTCCAGACCCTTCTCTGACTCATCTTATTCTCCTAGCCTGCCGCTCTCTTCCAGCACCCCAGGCCCGGTCCCCTTCCTGAGTCCCATTTGAACACCGAGCTCCCTGAGACCCTCTTCTCCTCTCCCTTCTCTAAGCCACAGTCCCCTCCCTGAACCCCCTCTCCTCTCTTCAGGCCTGCTCATCCAGGTGCTGAGCGTGTTGTTATCCTTGGTAGGAGACGCGCTGGTCAGTGTGTACAGGTCAGAGGGAGGGACAGGGGTGCCCCAGGGGCTGCTCTTTGGAGGGGGTGGGTGCTGGGCTGGACCGGCTGCAGCTTGAGCTGATTCAGATCTGGTTGAGTCGTGTTCTTGAGCCGATTCAGATCCGGTTGAGTCGTGTTCACAGGAGCTGGGACTAAGATCCTGGGGTGGGGTTTTGAGGGGTTGCCCAAGGTCAAGGGCCTCAGCCTCCCTCCGGTTCCTCAGGGAGGTCTGTTCCATCCGCTTCCTGCTCACTGCTGCATCACTGCTGAGCCTCTTTCTGGCAGGTGAGGGCGGAAGATTCCCGGATGCTTTGGGGCCAAATTCTGCACGTGTTCTACATCCCTTCAGCCCACCTGGGTCCTCTGCTGAGCGCTCTAGTTCCCCTTAGACTCCCCAGGCTCAAACTCCTTGAGCCTCTTCTCTCCTCATTGTCCCCTAATGCCAGAAAAAGCCCTTCTCTCCCTCCCATTACCTCCCCTCCCCTTCCCTTCCTTCACCCTCTCCTGTCCCCTCCCCTCCTCCTCTCCCCTCCTCTCCCTGACATTTCCGTTCTTTCTTCAGCACTCTGGTGGGGGCTTCTGTACCTGGCCCCTCCTTTGGAGAATGTGAGTCAGGGAAATTGTCCTTGGTTGGGTGGTTGCCAGTTGTTAGCCTGGGGATTTTGGGGTTCCTTGGATGGCTGGGTGGAGGCAGTGCCAGGGCCCATAATCCTTAAGAAGTGCTGGATATAAACAGGTTTCTGGGAGATTATACCCAGAGGTGCCTGAGGGTCTCTAAGAGGCTATGATTCTGGAAGTGAGGGAAGAGGTGGGGGAGGAGTCCTCGAAAAACAGCCATTTGAGTTTGGCTGCTCTGAGGCTGAAGTGGAAAAAAGGAGGCCGTATTTTGTCTCTCCCAAACTCCAACAGGAACCTAAGGAGATGCTGACTCTAAGGTGAAAAAGGGCAGCTGGGGTGGGAATTAGGGGGGCTGCTTATGCGGACATTGGAGGGGCCCAGGGGGACAGGGAGCCAACTGCACTGTGCCAACCTCCTACTTCCAGTGAGTACCACGAGCGTGTGCGCTCTCAGGGGCAGCAGCTGCAGCAGCTCCAGGCTGAGCTGGACAAACTCCACAAGGAGGTATCCAGTGTTCGTGCAGCCAACAGCGAGGTGAGCCCCACCCATGTCCAGGGGTCTTGTTTGGAAGGAGCTGGCTTCACAGCTTGGTCCTACCCACCTGGGAAACTCCTGGCTAATCACGGTTCTCTAGGTCCTGAGAAACTACTTCTGTTTGGAGCCTTGATTTCTCTCGGGGCCCACGAAGTCCTTCCCATTATCACTAGTTCCCAGACAACCCTGCCCAGCTGTTCAAACAGCCTGCAAGCCCTGCCCCTCCAGGCTCTGCTCTCTCTCTCTCTCTTTTTTTTTTTTAAGAGAGAGCTTTTATTTTTGCTATAGGGCACACGCACTCAACGGAGAGACAGAGAGAAATAGAGATAGACAACGCGAAATCACCCCCCCACAATCCCTTCTCCTCCACTCTCTTCTTGGGATCTTGGGCATGCATGTGCACATGCCCAGTGTGAGTTTTAAGCCATCGGGTCCTGGACTTGAACTGTGGTTGAGTACATGGGAATCTAGCAATGTAACCATTACACCATCTGCTGGTCCCCTCACCTTTTCAGAGAGTGGCTAAGCTGGTGTTCCAGAGGCTGAATGAGGACTTTGTGCGGAAACCCGATTATGCTCTGAGCTCTGTGGGTAAGACCCAGCGACACTGGGAGACAGAAACCCAGAGACAAGGAAAGACAGAGATACTGACAGACAGACCTATGCTACTAGCCTGTCAAAGGAGACAGCTGTAGATTCTCCTCCAGTTGTCTATAAGGTTCTGGAGTCCCTGAGGGTTTTTGGTTTTCTACTTCTCATATATCCAGGAGCCTCAATCGACCTAGAGAAAACATCCCATGACTACGAGGACACAAACACTGCCTACTTCTGGAACCGCTTTAACTTCTGGAACTATGCAAGACCACCCACGGTTATCCTGGAGGTGTGGGGATGGAATCAAGATCCTGGGATAGAACCAGGGACCAGACATCGAGGAAATAACCAGAACCACTCCTTGGAGGCAGAAACCTAGTTGAACTGGGTGCATGGCGGGCATCCTCTTGTCTGAAGATGGGTCCAGCTTGAGGCAGGGCCTAGTTTGGCTAGGGTGAAGCACTGGGTGAGGCCAAGGATGGTTTTAAATTGGAAGAGAGACCTACATTGTAGAGCTGGGGATTGGGTCCTGAGTTGGGATCACTGGTAGCGACAGGCTGAAAGTGGAGCTCTGGGCTAGGCCAAGGATGGGGTCCAGCTGAGCCTATCCCAGGCTGGGGAAGGGCAGCAGTTGCTCTGTGCACAACTTCTGATAGTTTTTCTGCCTGCCTGCAGCCAGATGTGTTCCCTGGGAATTGCTGGGCTTTTGAGGGCCACCAGGGCCAAGTAGTGATCCGGCTGCCAGGTCGTGTGCAGCTGAGTGACATCACCCTGCAGCATCCGCCACCCAGCGTGGCGCATACCGAGGGAGCCAACAGCGCTCCTCGGGACTTCAAAGTCTTTGTGAGTAGGGCTGGGGTGAGGGTGTGGGGGACTGTGCCTAGAAAGCACCAGGCAGTCATAAGAACTGGTGTCAATATTTGAGTCTTAGCTTGCTTCTCTATAAAACTGAGCTACAACTTGCCTCTCAGTGCTGCTATAGGTTATAAACCATAACCATATCCAAACACTAGTTATGGCTTATTGAGGACAGCCTCTGCACCAAGTACTTTACATGTATCATTTCATTACATTCACAACAACCTATGAAATACAATTATTATTCCCCTTTACTAATAAGGAAAGTGATGCTCAGAGAGGAAATATTTGCCCAAGGTCACATAGCTAACAGTTGGCTGGACTGAAATTTACAACCTAGTTTCTTAGAAGCCACATTCCTTGGACCAGCAGATGGCATAATGGTTACATCACTGGACTCACACATAGTTGACCACAGTTCCAGTCCCGGACCCTGCGGCTTAAACTCACACTGAGCGTGGTGTGCATGCATGCCCAAAATCCCGAGAGGAGAATGGAGGAGAAGGGATTGCAGCATGGCCACCCCCCCCTCCCCCCGGGGAGTGATTTCTTGCTTTCTATCTTTGGCAAGCAAGATTCTCTCTAAAAAAAGAAAGCCACACGCCACACTCCTATCCTACCCCAACCTATCCTCAAAACATACATGAGAGCACACACTTAACAAGATCCTCAAGAAAGTTGCTTTTCCCCTGCTCTATCTGGGGCCTCACTGTTCCTCCATTCACTCTTCACCCACCAGGGCCTCCAGGTTGATGACGAGACTGAAGTTTTCTTAGGGAAATTCACCTTTGATGTGGAGAAATCTGAGATTCAGACTTTCCACCTGCAGGTGTGTTTGTCCCAGGGGGTGAAGTGGGGCAGTGAGGGACACTGGGGAAGAGGGCAGCCCTTGGAAGAGCAGGTCTTGCCATGGTTCATTTGTCTTCCCAGAATGACCCCCCAGCTGCTTTTCCCAAGGTGAAGATCCAGATTCTAAGCAACTGGGGCCACCCCCGTTTCACGTGCTTGTATCGAGTCCGTGCCCATGGTGTTCGAACTTCAGAGGTGGCAGAAGACAGTGCCACAAGGGCCACTGGGGGGTCCCATTAAACATGCTGATGGTTGGAGTATAACTGAGCTCTGTGAAGCTGAATCAGTGCTTGGGGTGCTCTGTTGAGGAGAGCTCTGGCTGCCTTTAGAGGTCTACCTCCCAATCAATGTATCTCTTCCTACAGAAATCCAGATGAACATAGTTGCAGTAGCTATGTTTACGGAGTGTTCACCATATGCAAGAGACAATGCTATGAATATTAGACCCATTACCTAATTGGATTCTCACAACTATAGAGGGAAACTGCTCAGGGTCAGAAAACTCACTCAAGGTCACATAGCTAATGAAGAGCAGTGAGTGGGACCCAAAGACTTGCCTTCCTCCAGAGGCCACCCTCTTTAACTGCAGAGCTGCTATTGAGAGCCCAAAGCCAAGTTTGTGCTCATTTCCTATCTCCAATGTCCCCATCCCCTTAGTTGTAGAAGGCAGAACTACCACGCCCTCCCATCTTCAGGCAAATACACACTAAAGAGACGAGAACTTCTAGGAAGCTTTGGAGTCATACAGCTGATGCAGACCTTCTGCCCCCATTCAGTTGTCTTTAGGAGACCTCAGTGCCAAACTGCCAGGCATTGTGCAGGTGACCTAGAATTAACCTCCCTGCCCTCAAGGAACTTCACCAGGGATAGATGATGTCACAGAAAACAGAACAATGCACTTATAGACCCAATAATTCTTTAATAAGGGTCAAAAGTGGAATTGTGTGGATCTGGAGTGCTAGAAAAGGGGGATCACATCATGATGAAACTCTATCAAGGGTGCTCTCTTTCATGAACATGCACACATGTGCTTTTAATCATTTGAAAAAAAGAGAACAGCAGATGGCATAATGGTTATGTTGCTAGACTCCCATGTAGTTGACCACAGTTCCAGTCCTCGACCCGGCAGCTTAAAACTCATGCTGGGTCATGTGCATGTGTGCCCAAGATCCCGAGAGGAGATTGAAGAAGGATCTATGGCATGGCCATCCCCCTTGGGGGGTGATTTCTCACTTTTTGTCTGTCTCTCCAGCGAGCGCACACAACCTATAGCAAAAATCTCTCTTAAAATAAAAGGATAAAGTGGAATTAGAGGAAAAAGATAGGAGGACAGACATCAAAGGATTAACAAGTTCTAATTAGGGATAGAAAAGAGAGACCGGGCTGGATCATGTGCAGCTGGGAGACATCACCCAGTTACACTGGCCTGCACCTGTAATCCCAGTGACTTGAGAGGCTGGGGCAAGAGGACTGCAAGCTTGAGGCTGGTTTTGGCAATATGACAAGACTGTCTGAAAAAGCCAGGCATAGTGATGCATGCTGGGAAATCCCAGCTGGGAAGTTGAGGCAACACAATCAAGACAGAGACCTTGTCTTAAAAAAAGAGCCAGGACCGGCAGGTGGTGTGGTGGTTAAGGGTGTTAGATTCCCACATGGCTGACCACGGCTTAAGTCCTGGACCTGGCAGCTTGCTTTCTCACTTTCCCTCCCTCTCATTGTCCCTCTCTGGTCAAATTAAAATGAATAAATAAAGTTAAATAAAATAATTCTATTTAAAAAAAAGAGAATCTAGCATGAACAAAGAAACATGTAGCATCTTGGCTATTAGGACCTTTTCCAGTGTGCGCATGTTTTGGAATAATATGTAGACTTAACAGTGGTGACATCTTTAGGTAGTGAAACTGGGAGTATCTAACACAAATTCATGTGCATATGGGGGTGCAACACTTATCCATCTGTTTAAATTTGTGGGATATTATTTTTGAAATTTGAAGACAAAAAATTCCTACAAAGTGCTCTCAAAGCCTAAGGTTAGAAATAGGAACTAACACAGCTTTTCTGGAGGGTAGGTTCACAATAAGAACAGAAAGTCTTAAAACTTTTATTATGGGTCAGCCAGTGGCATGGTGATTAAGGTGGCTGGATCCCAGGTCGACTGTTCAAGTTCCAGACCAGCTGCTTGAGAAATACACTGGGTGTCTGTGCATGTGTGCCCAAAATCCCAAAAGGAGAAAGGGTGAAGGAACTGCAGTGTGACCATCCCCCACGAGGGGAGCTTTCTCACTTTCACTCTCTCTCTTTCCCCATCTCCTCTCTGGCAAGCATACATGCCCTCTAGCAAACTAAAAAAAAAAAAAAAAAAAAAAGGAAATGATTCAGTTTTATGCTAGATACCCACATGTGCACAAGAAAGAGATCACATGCATCCCCCGACAGAGTCTGGTAATGCCACATCCCTATTTCTCCAGTTCTCCACCTTGACATGCATGAATGCACCTGGCATTTTTCATGGCGTCACCAGGGCCAGGATTCAAACCCTTGTCAGGCATGTGGGATATAGCTTCCTCTATAAAGGCTTCACTACTACACTAGGGAACCATTCCTTTAAAAAACTTTTTATTGGACTAGCAGAAGGCATGGTAGCTATGTCACTGGAATCCCACATGGCTGACCACAGTTTAAGTCTTGAACCCGGTGACATGAAAATCATGCTAGGCACGTATGTGTGCCTAAGATCCCAGGAGGAAAATGGAAAAGAAAGGGTTGCAGCATGGCCATCCCCTGAGGGGGTGATTTCTCACTTTCCCTTTCACTGTCTGTCTCTCTATCCCCAGTGAGCACATGTCCCCTAGGGCAAAAACCTCTTAAAAAAAAAGAACTCGAACCACGGTCAGCCATGTGGGAGTACAGTGATATAACTGCTACACCATCTGCTGGCCCCTAAAACAACTTTTTTTTTTTTAGAGAGAGATTTTTGCTATAGGGTAAGTGCACTTGCCAGAGAGAGACACACAGTAAGTGAGGCAATCACCTGCCAGAGGAATGACCACAACATTCTCCTCTCAGGATTTTGGGTATGCACACACATGTACCTGGTGTGAGTTTTAAGCTGCCAGGTCTGGGAGTCAAACCTGTGTGTGTGTGTGTGTGTGTCTGATTTCTCACAATTATACCATCTAGTGGTCCCTAAAACAACTGTGTGTGTGTGTGTGTGTGTGTGTGTGTGTGTGTGTGTGTCTAAAACAATTTTTAACTTTGCAGACATAGAGAACACCCCACCCCCCAGTGGGGCATGGTCATTCCACAATCCCTTCTTCATTTCTCCATTTTTTGGGGGATCTTGGGCACACACACACACATGTATCCATCATGTTTTTCTTTCTTTTTTTAAGAATTTTTAAAATGTAACTATTTTTAATGTGATAGGGACAGAGCGAGAGCGACAGTGAGAGAGAGAGAGTGTGAGAAAGCAAGCCGCCAGGTCCAGGACCCGAACCATGGTTAGCCATGTGGGAGTCCAGCATCCTTAACCACCATGCAACCTGCTGGCCCCATGTTTTTCTTTACTTAAAAGAGGTATTTACTTTTATTATTTGCTTAAAATTTGTCCAGAGAGAGAGGAAAAGTGAGGATGCAAGCCGCCAAGTCCAGGACTTGAACCACAGTCAGTCATGTGGGAGGGGAGTCCAGCATCCCAACCACCATGACAACCTGCCAGTCCCTCGATCATGTTTTTCAAGCTGCTCGGGCCAAGATTCAAATTGCATGGTGAGGAGCTGGCAGGTGGCATGGTGGTTGGGGTGCTGGACTCTCACATAACTGACTGTGGTTCAAATTGCATGGTGGGCCACGTGGGATCTGGCTCTCAACCACCAAGCTATGGGGCCAGCCCAAAACTTTTTATACTTTTAATCACAGCAATTCCATTTCTAAGAATATACCCAAGGAATACATAGATGTATTAAAAGACAATACAGTACATAAAAATATTTATCATACTCTCGTTTAAAAAAGAAAAATGGGGGCCAGCGGGTGTGGTGTGGTGGTTAAGAGCACTGGACTCCCACATGGCCTATTGAGGTTCGAGTCCTGGAACCTGGTGGCTTGTTTCTCATTATTTCTCTTTCTATTCTCTTTCATACTCTGTCCCCCTCTGGTCAAATAAAAATAAATAAATAGGGGCCAGCAGGTGGCACTGGACTCCCACATGGCCAACCACAGTTCAAGTCCCTAAACCTGGCAGCTTGCTTTTTCTCTCTCTCCCTCCTCTCTCTCTGGTCAAATTAAAATAAGTAAATAAATAAAATAATTTAAAATAAAGTTAAATAAAAGAATGCTTTAAAGAACAAGTAAAGAAAAAAAAACTGGGGCCAGCAGATGGCATAGTGGTTACGCTGCTGTATTCCCACATGGGCGACAGTGGGTCAAATCCCAGACCTGGTGATTTGAAAACCTTAGGTGACTACCCAAGATCCCAGGAAGAAAATGGAGAAGGGAATATCACTGGCCATTCTCCCTGGGGGATGATTTTTCACTTTCCCTCTCATTGGCTCTGTCTTGAGCGAGTGAGCGAGTGCCTGCGTCCTAAGGCAAAAACCCCTTAAAATTTTTTTAAAGAATCATTTTGTTGGGAACCAGCAGTTAGCGTAATGGCTATGTCGCTGGAGTCCCACATAGTTGACTGTGGTTCGCGTCCCGGACCTGGTGGTTTAAAACGCCGGGCGCGTGTGCGTGCATACCCAATATCCCTAGAGGAGAATGGAGGAGAAGGGCTTATGCGTTCGCCAGAAAGAGAGAGACAGAGAGATAGAAAATGAGAAATCACCCCCTAGGGGGGATGGCCACGCCGCAATCCCTTCTCCATTCTCCTCTCAGGATCTTGGACACGCATGCACACGCACCTGGCGTGAGTTTAAGCCATCGAGTCTGGGA